CATCCCGCGGGTCGTCTGGGCCCACCCTCCCACTCTCCTCTTCTCCCCGACCCCCCCCAACCCCGCCCCGGCCTGGCATAACTCCTTGGGGGCTCTGGTGGACTCAGCCGATTTTTGGCGCCGGAAGAGATGGGGATGGGGGTGGGTTGAGTGAGGGGAAAAAGCGGGGTGGCGAAGCCCCGAAAAGACAGAGGCTCAGCTTCCCTCCGCAGGCGCAGCGGTCCTGGGCAGCCCCAGCTTCCGGCCGCGCTGAGGCAGCGTGTCACATTGTAACCGAATCCAGAGGCCAGGCGACTGCGGGCCGCGACTGAAGAGAGGCGGAGGAAAGGGCGGCGAGGGCACTAACGGAGAGCGCGAGAAGGCGGCCGGGGCTGGCAGGGGGCGGAGGCGAGGCGGCAGCGGTTCCGGATGTACTGCCGGGCCGGTACCCCCCACCGCATCTGCGCCGCATCCTGGCGGGTCGGACTCGCGGGACGGGGAGGATTAGCCTCGCCCGCGCGTGCGCACGCGCCCGCTCCCCCGGGCCGCCAGCAAAAGCCAGACCCAGAGAAAACTGGCTGGCCACCCCTCCGACCAACCAAACCTGGGGATGCGCGGCCAGAGTCCTTGCGAAACGACTCCCTGGGCCTGACTTCCCTCTCCAAAATAAAACCCGTCCCTGATCTGTAAGCCTCCCAGATACTTTCCGAGCCCCTCATCCTACCGGCCAGGTCCCTCTTCCTAGTCATGACGCCTTTAGCCCACCCCAACCCGGGCTCTATCCCGCTGGTGCCCACCTGCGAGGAGGCTGAAGGAGCGGACAGAGCCTGGTCAGCAGCGAGTGAGCCAGACCACACCCGGGCTGGTTATAAGGCAGCTCCGGCCCTCCCTCCAACAAGTGTCCCTGACCTTCTCCTGTGACCCCTGCCCTTTCCTCACCACAGATTCCCTGGCAGGGACCTATATTTAGGGAAACCTGAAGCCCCTGACATTCACACCAGCGTGGGGCCTAAAGTGAAGGAAGAGGGAGGAAGCTGTGGGCCTGCCTACTTTGGGGTGAGGAGGAGGGCCCCCTCCCCACTCACCTGCTCCTCAGAGACGGTTTTCCTTGGAAATCCAGACTGAGGCCCGCAAAAGTTTGTCAAGGGAAATAAATCTTTGGACAGGGGTCTGTGAGGAGGGAAAGAGGGGTAGGGGGACTCAGATCTGTGGCCCTCCCTGCCTCCTTTTCTGATCTCCCCTGCTCCTGACTCTGGGCCAGGACCTTGGCTGTTGTGATCCTCTGAAGCCTGCTTCTTTAGAGGGAGAGCAGATGCAGGCACTACACTCGCACCTCAAAATAACCCAGTCCATGGACAGGGTGTGGCTGGGGTACCCAACATCCTGATTCTCAAGGCCCAAGTTTCTCCCATAATGCTGCCTGTAGGGAGCAGTGTCCCCCACCCTCACCTTCAAACACAATCATTTACTTGGGGAGGAGGAGAGGAGGGCAGGGGCACCTGCCGAAGCACTAGCCCCTCTGTCTTCTGGCCTTCCAAAGGGGCTGCCGTCCAGCGAGCCAAGGGCTCTCTGAGTCTCGCTCTGCTGGGAGCCAGGCTCTCCGCTGCTGGTTCCCAGGCTGCTGAGCTGGGCAGGCCATTTGTGGTTCCAGTGGCCTGGAGAAAGGTGTCCTGAGGCCCCTCAGGGAACAGGGCATGTGGGCCCCGGGGGGTGGCCGCTCCCCCAAGGGGCAGGGACACTGGGTCATCATCGGAGCTTGATCTCAAAGCAGAGACAGTTGAGGCTCTGGCAGTCAGGAAGTTGGCACGCACAGGCACAGTCACAGAGTGGGCAGCAGCGAGGGCAGCGAGGGGCCCAATCCTGGAGGAAAGGAGAATGGGGTGAGGGAGGTGGGCACAAGGAAGGGGACCAGAGCCTGCAGCTGTTTCCTTCTCAAGGGAGAAGAGAACAGAGAGGCCTGGAAAGTCCCATTTGCCCAGTGGATCACAGGGTACCATCCATCATTCTTGGGAACAAATCAATTCCCTAAGCTGTTGAGAAATCAGCAAGGAGGCAATGTTCCTAACAGCTGGGTTCAGGAGGTAGAAGAAATCATTCAGGGGAGGTGTCTTCCTTTCTTCTCATTTTATAGATGAGACTGAGGACCAGAGATCAGCTGACCCTTAGGTCCCAATGTTCAGCTCAAAGATGGTTCTACTACATATATCCTTGTGGCCTCATGCAGTTGAAAGTCAGTAGACCAGGAAAGCACAGACACTCTCTCTGTCCATGATGAAAATAACGTCGGTTTTGTGGATTTCTTCCTTGGCCTGAGGCCAAACTGCTGGATCTCATTTGTCCTTCATTTCTGAGCACCTACTCTGTGCAAGGCACAGACTGCATTCATGAATGATTTTTAAAACTCTAGTTTTCTTTGAAAATTGTAATTTGGCATATTTAATTTGTTAAATGTTTAAAAGGAGTTACATCTCTTGTTTATCAGAACCTGGAGTAGGGGGCCTGTTTACAAAAGAGGGAATGGAGTTTCAGAGAGGGGAGTGAGTGCCCAAAGAACTACAACTAGGGAATAGTGCTGGGATGGGCCTGGGCCTGCCTGCTTCCAGTCCTGAGATTCCCCCATGACCCCACTGCTTCCCAGGGCCATGGGTATCAGCTTCTTTCTGGGTCTGCTAGGGCAGGGACAGTTCATCTCCTGTCTCCACTGAGCTGCCAGGGGGCTTGGGCTCAGCAGATATCAGATAAAAGAAGACTGTTGAATGAATGAATGAATCAAAGCATATCATTTTTCTCCTCTTTAGGCAAAGAAGAAAGAAGAGAGTATCTCAGCTCCCAGGAGAAACAGGAGGTCTGTCTCTCAGGGAAAAGGAACAGCATGTCCTTAGAGACAGGGAGAACCGGTCCACTCCAACCCACTCCTCTTCTGCCCTGGGACAGGGATGATCTGTAACTGCTTCAGGCATGGACTGGAGTCAGGCCAAGTGGCTGGAGTGGGACACACCCAGTATGTGTGACAGAAGATTGGCTCCTTGAGGCCTGGGGCAGAGCTAGTGACAGTCACAGTTGCACAGCTCAATCAGACACCGGGCCAAGCCAGGAATAGGGGAATGACCTTTAAGAACAGCTGATGTTTCGGGGTGTGGTGTCAGATGACCAGTGAGATCAGCTTCACTAGGGGCTCCAGTGAGGGGAGAGGATCCACTACTGCCAAAAGAACTGTGTCTCAAGGACGCACGAGAAGTAGCATGGTGGAAGGAGGCAATGGGGTGGTTTCCTTGTGTTTGATGGGGGTGTGGGCTGGGGTGTCTCTGGAGAGTCCCAGGCTGGGGCTGAAGTCAGCACTGTGGGTATTTGGAGGACCACACTGTTATCCTGTGTGCAGAACTGAGTGCTGAGAGAGGCTCCACTGCCCTCACTTCACAGAAGCGGGTATTAAAAGCATTTCTTGGCTCTGTCTGCTGGAAAGGTTTGGAGCTAGTCATTAATAACTCGCTAATGGATATCTCCAGTGGCTTCTGGAAGGAATCTGCTTTTTAAGTACATTTAACAAGGGCTCCACGTGACTGTTAACCCTGGTGTTTCTCTAGGCTGTGCAGTTTTTCACTCCCATTTCTTTCACTTTGAGGTTGTGAAGACCAGTCTTTACTGTTTGGCACTCAGGCCTGGGTTTCAGTCTAATTCAGGCCCAGGTTTGGCTAGTTCATGTTTTGATCCTCAGTTTCCTCATCTCTGAAACAAATATAACACCCACTTTACAAGGTTATTGTGGGGAATGAATGGAAAGAACGAAGCACAAGCCTGGTACGTAGTGAGCTCTTGCCATAGCTCTCTTTCCCTGCAGCAGTAGGTCTTAACCCTGGTGTGCATCAGAATCGTGTAAGAACTTGTTAAAAATTCACAAAATCCAATCCCATTCCCGATCTACAGGGCATGGGGCCTGGATGCCTGGCTTTTCAGTTGTAGCCTCATACCTGATTCTGATCACACACAGGGCTGAAAACCAACTGTTGCACTAAATCACATCATTTCTCACACACAATTGTCATTGCCTCCTGTTTCTCTTTGTCCTTCACTGGAACGTGAGCCCCGTGAGGGCTGGGGCCATGTCTACCTTGCTTCCGCTGCACCCCCAGGGCCCAGCACAGTGCCACCACAGTGACTCTATAAATCTTTGGTAAGTGAATAAATAAGTGAATGAATGGATGAATTAGATCCTCGCAACACACTGTGAAAGAAGTAGAGCAGGCAGGTTTCTCCCCCAGAGAGAAAGAGAAACCTGGATTTGTGTCCTGACCCAGGCTTTAGGCAGGTCACACTGTCCACCACAGTTTCTCCAGCTACAAAGGAGGCAAGAGCTTTGGAATATTTGTGGTTGTTTTGTGGTTGTTATTGTTACTAGAAGGAAACTGAAGAACACAGAGGCCTCACTGTGCTTTGTGGAAAGACAGCTCAAGGACAGAATGACCCTGCCCACCATTCAGCATTCTAGAATCCTTCCTGGCTCTGGCAGAAGCCGGGTAGGACCAGGCCCTGAGGTCTCTGGGTCTGGACATCCCAGCAAACTGGAGGAGGTGGGAGGAGCCAGTCCCTCCTGATAGTGCACCTGACTCTCAAGGGGAAAAAAAGGCCTCTGACAATTTCCTCTCCATGGACAGAAAATGAAGGGAGTGGCGTCCCCAGGACATGGGGCCAGAAATTATTTTGTAATTGAGCATTCTAAGGTC